AAGTGTCAATGGTATCATGTTCATGGTTTTTTGAACTATATTTGTGTTTGTTGGTCCAAAATATGTAAATAAAATTGAAAATAAAGGAACTATTTTGGAATTTCCTTTATTTCTTAAAATCTGGGGATATCTCTTGTTTCAGTTCAAAATGAAACCTCAAATGCACTATGCTGAGGATGACTGTCCAGTTCCAGTTCCAAGTAATTTCCCAAAAGATGATGACCTCCATTTCGAGATTGAGTTGATAGATTTCTCCAAAGTCAAGGCAAGAATGCTGCAAATTCTATAATTGTCGTTTTGTTATAACCTTTTAGCATCACAATTTTGATTCCTCTACACAAAGTTAGTGTTCTCATACATGCTTTCTAAGTAATTTCAGTAGTATTCATCAGAATTCTTTCTGATGTTTGAGGTGCTGCTGATGTCTAGCTGTCATTCATTGATTTTCGTGTAACCTCTCTTTGTAGTTCTAATGTCATGTTATTTTTATGCCCATTTTCAGGTCGTTTGTGATGATTTGGGAGTTTTGAAGAAGGTATAGTGGCACAGTACCGCTTAATGTTGGCTAGAAATATCATGGTAGTTGGAATTATGTACGGGGGATTGGAAATTTTTGTACTGTTTGACACGCTTTGATATTGCGAATGTACAGACTAATCTTTAATTCTTTCTGCAACAAGAATTGGTGCCATCAACATCATCATTTTTGGTTTACTCTACTCTGTTGCTACATGAACTTTTATTCTTGCTCCCATATTTGCACCCCATTTGTTTTAGTCTGAAAGATATCCTGTAACTAGTAGTTATGTAATATTGGTAGGTAGTAGATGAAGGACAGGGTTGGGAATCACCGAGGGAACCATATGAAGTAAAAGCTTGGTAATAATTTATTCTCAAGCCTTTTGCATGTTCTTTTGTGGGCATTGCACTAAATTTCGTGAATGTTTTGATCATTTGTCAGATGTATCATATAATATTTTTTCAGGATTTCTGCAAAGACAGGTGACGGGGAGTTGATTTTGTCACACACAGAAGGAGAACCATATTTCTTTACTTTTGGGAAATCTGAGGTAGGAAATTTGTCTTCTATTTTGGATTTTGTTTTTACTTGGTCATCCTGGTTTTCTGTATGTTATAATGTGCTCTATCAGAGTTTGCGATAAGTAGCAATCGCACCAGAAATTTGATAGTTTTGGTTCCTGCTCATTTGACCCAACATGATGTAGTGAGTTGTTGTGAATACTGAACTTAGGCATATAAGTTTTTGTTTGGTGGAAATTTGTGTTTGGTTTCATAGGCAGTTGGATACTACCCTTTTCATGTTGTCATGCTTAAGCTCCTTTTGATATAGGATTTGTCCTTGATCTCATAAAATTTAGGTACCTAAAGGTCTGGAGATAGGAATAGGAACCATGGCACGGAAAGAGAAGGCGGTAATTTATGTTAGAAATCAATACTTAACTCCATCTCCCCTTCTGCCTGAGATAGAAGGTTATGAAGAAGTTCATTTTGAGGTGGAGCTTGACCATTTCATCCAGGTAAGTCATTGCTCTCATATTGCTCATAAATGTTTTATCATAATGTAACCGACTTGGTGAATGTAATTGAACTCTCAAATGTTGGGATTTATAGGTGAGAGACATGCTGGGAGATGGGCGCCTAATTAAACGACGGCTACAGGATGGAAAAGGTGCTATATTTGGTCAAACTTTGGCTCAGAGAGATATCTTTGTTCTTTTCTCTTCACTTTTCTCAACCTTGTGCTACACTATAGCTATGTTTTATTGATGCAATGTGAGAATTACACAAGGAAAAATCTGTTGTCAACATATTGTTAATTCTTGCTCCTATAGCTTTCAATTCTTGTGACATTGTCAATTTATATATCCATTCTTGTGAGAGCTTTATTTTGAAAATATACATTTAACAATTTTCACACTCATTCTTTGTTGACAGAAAGATTCATAGGATGATGCTTTGCTAGCTATGCACTTTATTTGCTAGTTACTGCCTCCATTTCAAATTTCCTTTAATTGAGTCTCTTTTTTGAATGATTAAGATCCTGTTTATTGGCTGGATAGATGGTGATTTTCTTTGTTCTTTGAAATGACCAGGGGAGTTTCCTATGGATTGCCCACTTCATGATAGTCTTTTACGTGTCCATTATAGGGGCATACTTCTGAATGAAGAAAAGACAGTCTTCTATGATACAAGAGCTGATAACCAGGGTGACCCTTTGGAGTTTAGTTCCGGAGAAGGGATGGTGAGTTCACCCTTCTAAAGTTGAAAAGATATCTTGAAAGATATTCTTTTTGTCTGTGTATTTCATTTTGTGCTGGTTGAAATAAATTGATATAACAATGCCCATGACCTACAAGTTGTTTTGATCCTGACAATTATGCTAAGACTCTGATTTTACTTTAATCTAGTAAGCTTTTATTTTGCCTTACAGGTGCCTGAGGGATTTGAAATGTGTGTCCGCCTGATGCTCCCGGGAGAGATTGCACTTGTCACATGCCCTCCTGATTATGCATATGACAAATTTTCAAGGTTGCTCTTTTCTTTATTTTATTAAAAAATTTTTGCTGTGTTATTTTATTTGTGCGCGACTTGAATGCCTCTCTTCCTATTTGGTTAGGCCACCTAATGTTCCTGAAGGTGCTCACGTTCAGTGGGAAATTGAGCTTCTTGGTTTTGAGATGCCAAAGGTAACGAAGTCATACCTTTTGAGAATGTCATTCTGAAATAGGTTGCTTTCAAATATGACTTTCAATATAATATGGTTGTTAAATTGTCAATATGCACCAAGACACTGTTATAAGAATGGAGTGTCCTGGTTTTTTTTCTTTTACCTCTCTTAGTGCCTAACTTAAATATCTATTACAGGATTGGACTGGTTTGAACTTTCAGAGTATAATGGATGAAGCAGAAAAAATTAGAGTCACGGTATGTGGCTTATTATATGTTGCATTCTGCCTCAATGAGCCATTTTTCATTTATTGGATGTCTGGTGATGGACTTTAGGTTCCCATGTCCATGTGTATGCTTGCAAGCTGTTGCAGTGATGCAATATCCTTCTGTTTGTTGTGCTGTGTGGCCATTAATATGCCATTGCCAGGAATATTTAACTGTCATGCTATCATTTTTCTACAGGGTAACAGACTCTACAAAGAAGGAAAATTTGAACTTGCCAAGGCAAAGTACGAAAAGGTTGTATGGTTACCATGTTTCATAGATCTTAGATCACCTTTGTGATGGTAGACTATTTGTTCTATCATTTGGTTGATGTATTAAGCATCTAACCGAAGACACAAGCCCAATACTAACAATTATAACAAATACAGAAAACAAGTATGGTAATAAATGATAAAAAACAAATTACAAATGGAGTACTAAATAACCCAGGATTGATTACCACACTTAACATCCACTCCAAATTGAATTGGTAATGGATCGAGAATCTGAGCCTAAATAAGCTTGCAGATGTTCATGTGAAACCAGTTACAATGTTTCTACTATGTTACATTTAAGTGCACAATGAATTAAATTCCATGTGTTGCTTTATATGTAGGTGCTTCGGGAATTCAATCATGTTAATCCACAAACTGATGAGGAAGGAAAAGTGTTTTTAGACACTAGAGTAAGTGCCATCCTGCCTCATGTAACTGAAAATTTATTCTATTCTATGATTTGTCAGCTGTTAAATGATGTTAAATAGCATGATTTCCAAGTTTGTTAATTTCCTTTTCCTGTTTTATTGCTGGAAGAATCTATTACATCTGAATGTGGCCTTGTGCTTCCTCAAAATGGGAGAATGCAGAAAGTCAATCGAGGCCTGTAATAAGGTGTGTAATGACTTCAAATTGGAACCTTCTCTTTTCTCTCTCTTCAATGGGAAGATGAAATTTTTTATGATTTTATTGGTCTTTATGAGAAGGGATACATCATTATGATCATAAATAACCGATGGTAAGATGTTAGCGGAAATAAGTTGTTGATTGGTTTCTGAATTTTTGCAAGGATGACTTGAATACACCAAGTTTTGAGGTTCAAAGTTGAACACAGGGAAGAAATAAAGAGAGAAACAACCAAGATAGTAGATCTGAAACTTTTACTTCAACATGAGCTGCCTTCTGTTTGACTTGTTTGCTTATCAAAACAATTGATCTTCAGGGGATTTTATTGAATTGGGATCTTGATATCTGTTGGTGGAACTATGTAGGTTTTAGATGCAACCCCTGTACACGCGAAGGCTCTATACCGTCGTGGAATGGCTTACATGGCAGCTGGTGATTTTGAGGAAGCAAGAAGTGATTTCCAAATGGTAGTGATCATGTAGTTCTTTAAGTTTAGTGGTCTAAGACTGGACTCTTGACCAATCTCTAATCCTTGTTTCTGGATACTATTAGATGATCAAAGTCGATAAGTCCGCAGAACCAGATGCAACAGCTGCTCTAGCGAAACTGAAGAAGCAAGAGCAGGTGCGTTTATCAGCCAGTACATTTTCTTTGCCATTCAAACGCATAGTGGAAATGTGGGGAATTCATTTTGTATCTCTCTACCAATTCATGAGCAGGAAGTAGAGAGGAAGGCTCGGAAACAATTCAAAGGACTATTCGACAAGAAGCCTGGAGAAATTGCAGAAGCTCAAGTTGAAGATAGAGGTGGAGATCAGGCCAGCGGTAGTGAAAACCAGAAGAACAGTGAGTCGTCATCATCATCATCAGATGGGGATGATGAGTCTCATGATGTTCATGGAGCTGCTGCTGGTCAACCTCGACTTGGCTGGCTTTACAACTTGTGGCCTACCGGTGGAAAACTACTTTCAGCTCTAGGGCTTCAAAGATGTACCATACTTTGACATTCTAAGGTCGGACCCTAAAACTTGTTTTCCTTATCCAAAAATGGCATTTTCACAAGAAAAAATAATAACAAAGTAAAGGAAGGAGACCAAGCAATGTTCAAACCCAAAAATTTTCTGAAATTCTTTAGAAATACAATTATAATTATTTTTCCGTTTATGCCCAAACTAACCGCCGTAGCGGCTGCGAGCCAAGCTGAGGCAATCCAGCCAATGCAAAATCTCGGCGTTGGGGTCCCTTTCAATCACAACATCAGAAACGGTGACCTGCAGCTTTCCTCTGTAGCAGGTGATCCTGCCCCGTACTCTGGCGACTTTCCCAATCTGGACATCGGAGGCGAAACGTTTTGCCGCCTGGGAAATAACTCGAACCGTCGCCGGTTGGCGGGATGAGAAGTAAGGGGAGGTAAGGTGGTTCAGCCAGAGGACGCAAGTGACATTGGCGGTGCCATCGTCGAGCGTGAACTTGAGAAACTTGTTGGGTTTTTGGTCCCGAGAAGTGATTACACCCAGGATTTCGGCGCGTGAGATTGGCTTGTCTTTGAGATAGAAAGTGGATGAGTTGTTGGGGGACGGAGTTAGAGACAGGAGATCGAAGCCTAGGAGCTTCACATGGGTCTTGTGCAGTACATCCATCAGTAACAAAAGGAAAAGACAACTGAGAGAAGAAGACTGGTTACTTGGTTTGGGCTCTATGGCTGGGCTTTATAAATATGGTGGGAGGGTTTAACGTTGTTCCAATTTCCGAGGACTAATTTATTTTGCACAAATTAATGGTACATATTTGCAATTGAATTAGCAAATAATGAAATTTATTGCAACAAATACTAAGTATAATCAAGGGAAGGGAACGGTGAACCCAAACAAATTGCAAACGATCATATAATTATGGATGCTAAAGTGCTTACATCGATAATCATATACTATAATTAGTTTAATCATGTCTGGTTTAACGAAATGAGGATTTTATTTATGATTCAAATTTTGGAAGAGAATTACCATTCTCTAACAAGTCTTTCGAATTTGATCAAAACAGAAATAGAAAGATTGTTTTATGTATCATTTTATCTCGAAAAACCATTTGTATAAAAGAGAGAATATAACCGACGATTCGGAAGGGTCGGATTTATAACTATGGGGAAAGAAAAGGGGATTCAGAAATTTGTATAGTTGTTCTTGCTGCTGATTTTGGGAAACGGAAATGCCCATCTACAATAAAGTTCGCGAGCTAAACGAGACTTTGGGTTATTTCAGCAAGTTGGGAATCATAATCAAAATTTTCAATTCTTGAGTCTTTTGTCCTTTTTTGGATAAATTATTTCATCATTTGACACTTGGAAGCCTGTTGGTTGTTAATCCTTGGCCATTGCCAGTCACTTGTCTCTTCTTTTAGTCCCGTGATCGTTAATCTAGAACAAAAAATAATTATTTCAACAGCTGTCAAGGGTCGCTAAAAAACAAGCATTGAAATATTCCACCGGCGACAGGGTTTTTTCTCACGGTAGATTAGCCCTATTCATACTAGGGTTGATATTAACAATGTCTTAATCCTTGGGGCAAAAACAACAAAAATTCAGATCCATCCCCATAAAGTATAACAAAGAACCCTGCAAAGAGAACATTTGGCGAATGAAAATTGCTTGAATAAATGACAGACAAAGCTACGATCAACCTGATTATATGTTCTTGATACCAAAGAGAGTATGACAAACTCGATTTGATTTACAATCTATAAGTTAAAGCTCAGGCAACATGGCTGGCATACCGTAACATCAAATCTTAGAAGCGATGCCGTCGGGAGACATGAACCGCTGCTCGGTGGTTTCCTTGGCCTGCAGAGCACGAAGCTTGACGATGAAGAACCCGATAGCATGACCAGCAACGGCGGCTATGAAGATTCCAAGATTGTAGGACATGACAGAGAGCATAACCATGTAAGCAAAGCACATTCGGACGGCATAAACACTGGCCTGAATGAAAGCTCCGAGGACAGGTTTGGTGCCAGGTATCACCGCTGGTAACATAGACAAAGTCTCGAAGGCGGCGCCTAGCAACAGCACGAAGAAGAGGGCCAGTACATACATGCCGGAGTTGCTTTCCGGCCACCCGGAGAATAGAACTATCACATCTTTACCCCAGTAGAAGCTCATATGCATATCCATTGATTTCATGCTACCGTTTGACATTGACCCTGCCGGCATAGGCATGTCCATCCCACCATGATCAGACATTTTCAGGGACAGAGGGAAGGAGAAAAACTCTGAGAAAATTGGAGAAAGTGACACGCTACTTTTCTTTTGGGAGTATCTATTTTAAATATAAAGAAGCAGGAAATAACGACGAATTAACACCTTGGAGATAATGACCAATTGGTACCCTTTGCAGATTCTTCCCTTCCCCTTTACTTAATTTTCTCAATGTTTTGTTTGTTTCTGCCACTTTGAAGTACTAGTTCATAAATGGTGGAGCACTATTTACAACAATAAATTTTTCTGTAGGTGAACTCATAATGTTATGATTCTTTCTCAAGATTATTTTAGCAAACAGTTTACAGTATATGATTCTGATACCAATTGGTGTTCACCATCACCTGGTTATCACAAATTGAAGCTACAAGGTCTACATCAAATAGCTAGTTGGGGGAGGAAAATTATCAACTTCCCCACTTCGTACGATGTTGTTTGATGGGATGTGAACTTTCTTGTCCGTTGCAGTCTCTGTTTGAAGTTGAATAAGTTGGCAGAGACGTTCTAGCTAGTAGATTATTTTTACTTAATTATTATTATTCTTGTACCACCCCATCAGCTAATAATGTTGCATACAAGTTGATCTTTCCTCCAAATTTCTGCATTAAATATGAATTAAAGAGATAGATAGTACTATGTAGATTTGACTAATGTGAAGCTTTTAACCCAATCCTATCTTCTTCTTTTTTAGGTTTGGTAAAGAACCAAACTCTGTATATTTATGAGTAATTATTTTAATCTATAGCAACTTAATTGGGCCCTCTCCCTGTAGATTTGGGAAGAGATCAGCATGTCCAAGAAAGCTGTGGCCCTTAATAGAAGGGCCCTAATACAAGCTGATGCCCCTTCCACTCTTCCTCTTCCTTCCTAATCTTTCTTCAATCCTTTTGGTCAATCATTTGTTTTACCACTGGAGGAAGAATGTAAATATTTCTCCTTTATTTTTTCTTTTTGGATGAATAAACATCAAATGTTAAATACTATAATTTTTGGTTCGGGAAAAGTACAATTAAATGCACAAGATGAGTATATGTCATAAACCATTTTAAATTGATACCAAATACGTGAAAGTGCACCTTCAATTCTCATGTTCTTGTACTTTGTTTGCAACTTATAATTGTATAGAAATTTCATATTTTTAAAGGTAATTATTTTGATAATTGACTTAATTGTGATTAATTACACCAAATATCACATACAGTAATATAATTAATTTAACAATGGGTTCTTATAATCACATAAAGAACAATATGAACTGCTATTTGACCTTGGATGGCCATGGATTGCATAAGGTTTATTTGGTCTTCTGCTTATAGCATTAACATGGTTTATTTTCATGGAAATTGTGCACTCCCAGTGTTTCAAACAAAACCCTTTTCTCCATATGTTAAGTTTGAAAACAAAATCTTAAGTGAAATCATCAATGGTGAAGAATTTGGTGGAGACGACACCAATTTCACAAAGCTTAATCACATCAATGTTCTTGTTATCCAGTGCTGAAGAAAAAGGGGTTTCTCGGATGATATCCTGGCAACTTCTCGTGGCATTAGCAGCGTTGTTCAGATCATCGACCATGCTGTCGATGGAATCGGAGTTCAAGTCATCGTTAGCCGACGAAAGCTCCCGGATCGTCTTGTTGTTATCAAGCTGACATCTCTGGAGAAGCCGGCGGTCGGTGGAGCTGGAAGAATTCTTGAGCAGCAGGCTAGCTATGAGGACTCGGGCGTCGGTTGCTTTGACTTGTGCAAAACGCAAGGCGGTATTAGCGATCTCCCCCGCCGTCGCCGACGGGGCAGATGCTGCGCTCGGAAATAGAGTGTCCACACAGAATTTGTAGTCCGAGGTGTGGTTGCAGACCTCGTTCACAAGGTCTTTTCCACGCAAAGGTTCATCTGCATATGAAGGATGGATGATGATCATAAAGATCAGTAGCAACAATGGAGAGAGAATCTGACAGAGGAGAGTTAGAGAAATAGATTGAAATCGGACCATTTCTTGGAGAAAGATGAGACAATGGAGGCACGCAGATTGCGTTTTTTATTTTGCTTTCTTCATTTCAGGCTTTCAACTTGCACGAGTATAGAGCCATTAAATTCTTTAAATAGTCTGAAAACGTGGTTCGGAGGCCCACACAAATTTCAGGCAACACATGTGATCTTAACCCTAGTTAAACTCACTATCAATTATCGTAGTCGTGACACATATATACTATACGGCTATACCTATATACATTCACTCTATACATATGATCACTTGATCTCATGATGAGGAATTAAGTTGATCATCCCAACAACTTAAACTTGTTTAATTATTTAATTCTTGTAACTGCTTTCGGAATCAATGGGTTGCAAGTTTTCATGGTTGTAAAAGAAGGGAGATTATCATCCTATAATAGTAGGGAATTCTCTTATTAATTGTAAATTAAAGGAATTAATATTTAATTACAATAATAAATTTACCTTTTTGGGTTGCATAGAAACTTGACAAGCTTATCAATTTTGACACCATCATCCCCATATAGGATTATAATCTTGATTATAGAGGTTGGTTTGATCATGTTTTCTTAAGTTTTGATTTTGATTTTTGAGCGTTATAACCTTAATTTATACTAAAAAATGAGAAAAAATTGACTAAATTTCCCTAAAGGTTAAACAATGTATAAAAGTAAATATTGGTTTTTTATTAAATAATAATTTGCAAGATCATACCCAATATAAAATAAAGCGAGCTATATCTTCATCTCAAAATCTTTATATTATTGACACATCTAAAATATAAAATAAAATTATTTTAAATTCAAATCTACTTAATTCCGTGTCATATTTAAATTTATCAAATTTAGTATAATCGAGGAAGATCAAATATTTTGTTCATTTTGTAACCCTTAAATCCAAATTACCAACTTAGTATTGAAACTTTTTTTTCCCTAACATTAAAAGAAAAGTGGCATTTAATTTTTTTTTTATAACAATTCATGAGAGAAAATGAATGCAAAATTCTTATGAGGTTGTTCAAAACGGCATAAAATATTAAAGATGAGGAACCAAAATCCAGGTAATCCCAAATTACAAGAAATTAACTTCTCTCAATCAAAACACACGCACACTAAGTAAAGAGTAAACACACGGAAAATCAATAACCCCCTCAATTTCCACTCACACTCAGCATTTTCCTACTTCCTGGGAGGAAGGTCCGGCTTCTTCTCCGACCCGCCGGACTTTCTAAAAGCCCGACTCCCGAAAACCAAGAACCCCACCGCGTGTCCGAAAACGGCCGCGAGGAAAACGCCGCCATTAAACGACATGATAGCCAGCATCACCATGTAGCTGAGCCCTGCACGCACGGTGTGCATCGCCGTCTGAAAGAACCCAGCGGCGACCTTGTTGGCTCCAGGCTTGATGATGCTGCAGTAAGAGAGCCACTCCACGGTCACTGCCAAGGCGAACACGAACATCAAGGCCAACGCGTACATGCCCGAATTGGAACCAGGCCAACCCGAGAAGAGGATTTCGGATTTGTGTCCCCAGTAGAAACTCATGTGCAACAGCGACTTCCGATGCACGTGGAGTCCCGTTGTGTTCCAAGCCGATGTCGTTTCCACCATGTTCACCATCGACTTCATTTACTTCCTTTTCCTCTGTTTTTTCTTATTGTTTTGTATTTGGGAAAGAAGAGAAGCAGGGTTTTAAAGAGGGAACAGAAGAAAATACAGATTCTTTCTTCTTTTTTTCTTCATTTCTAAAGCTGGGTTTATTGAGTTTGCATGGTTCCACGCTCATTTCCAGGGCAGGTCGCTTACTCTTCCATGGTTATAATCTTCCAGGGGGATGTTGATTTGTCATGTTTTTGGCTTGTACGTGCTTGGAAGGGGCGTGGGGGAAGGATTGAAGGAGAAAAAGAGAAGTGTACTTTAGAATCCTGCAAAACTCGATCCCAAGCAATCCCCCTGGAACTGACATTTTCCAAGTTCGCACGGACCGAATGACTGCCATGGCAGAGATAGGAAGCTACTTTATCTTTTTGTAATAATCTCCAGCTTAAACAATTCCAGCCAATGACGCATTGAAGCAGAGATTTTAGATTTTATTCTGTCTTTATCAACTAATTTCCCTGCTTTATGATTAATTAACTAAAACCTGTGAAGTGCATGTCTATCTGTGGGTCGCCAATGGAAGGCAAAGAGAACAGATGGGCATGGTGTTGGTACATGGGCTCTGGTCCTTTTTGAGTTTTAGCCAGTGTAAACACTGTAGAAATTTCTCAGCCAGGGCCCAAGGCAGGAACATCATCTTCTTCTTCTGTTTGATTTTCAAGATAGTCGGCTCACTGAGAAAATGTAATGGAGTACATGGTTATTATATTCCCAATAGTAATAGTCTAACATGCATGTAATGGAAGTTATAATTACAACATCTAGAATACAATTTATTAACAGAAAATAGAAAAGAAAACCATAGCATTTAGTATATAATTTGGCTAGAATTATGAGAGTTTATGTAATGTAATAGCATTTAGTATAGTATCTATACATTATTATTTTATATAATTTAAAATAAATATTTTTAAAATTAGGGATATTTATTCTTTTTAAGATTTGTATTTTTTTAAATTTATTTATTAACAAAAAATGATATTGATTAATTCACTCGTTGTGTACTAATAATGTATCATTTTTTAGTTAATTGACAGTGTGCAATACATCAAACATAAATTCTATACTTAATTGCCTTCATAAACTCAATGATGTTTTTGTCGCTAACAAGTTGAATTCAAATAAATTTTGCATATAGTAAATCCATCATAACCCTAATATTAAACTAGAGATTAGCTAATAATTAGAGGAACATTACTAGTATTTATTAATTATATTTATTTTAATAATAATATATAAGAGCAATATACATGCACACTCAGATCACATTTCTTTATTTTATATGATCATGAAGACTTAATAGTCGGGCTTTAACTCTCAAATCTCTCATTTCCCTCATGAAATTCTTAAAGCAGAAGCAGAATCTCTCACACTAGCCAAGGATCTGAATGGTTCTTCTCTGATTGCCTTTCCTGGCTTCCTTTTTAGGAACTGTCACTGTGAGCACCCCGTTCTCCAAATATGCCGTCAGCTTATCAACCTTTGCATCCTCAGGCAACCTGAACCGCCTCACGAACGAGCCGCTGCTCCGTTCCACGCGGTGCCAATTGTCGCTCTTCACTTCTTTCTCCGAGCTCTTCTCCCCGCTGATGCAGAGGATCCTTCCGTCCTCCAATTCCAACTTCACTTCGTTCCTGTTCAGCCCTGGAAGATCCGCTTTGAACACGTGAGCTTCTGGGGTCTCTTTCCAGTCCAGGTTCGCCAGCGCGAACGGTGACCCGGACGAGAAAGCAGGACGAGGCGCAACCAGAGCGCCCCCGAAGTTAAATTCCTGGAACGGATCCCAGGCTTGCTGGTAGAAAGGCTCGTGCAAATAGCAACTCGGAACCTTCGACATCTTTGTGAAACAACTAGCTAAGGAGACGTCTAGGTACTAAGGTGACAGTTAACCCTTGAAATGAAACAAATTAATGATATAAATGTTGATGCTATATTGCTATGAAAGGCTAAGATATTGGGATCAGTATTTATAAGGGAACAATGGAATTCTAAATGTACAACAATCTATGGTATAATGCTAATTGTGTGTCCATGATATTTCGAGAGAGGAATCCTCTTTTAAAGAAGATGGAAATGATGCCTGGCCAGAATAGAATTTATGGATGAAAGGATGTAGACGAATATGGCATCCGAATATATGTTGCCCCCTCAATGTTAACTGGAGTTCCTGTTCGCGAGAGGATAACCCTTTTTAGAACAGAATATGTTGCTAAATTGGCCCGAGGGTAAGGCTGATGCAAGGAACATTGACGCCATGTTATATGCGTAACTTTAGGACCGACTTAACCCATACTAATTGGGTTTGAAAGACACTGAAAAGCGACAAAAGAGAAGACCGATGAGCCATGGCAGGGATCTTAAGTTGCTTTGGAAGTCCAAGCTTTCTAGAGGTAGTAAGTAAGCCCGTAGGTGTTAGCACATGAAATAAATCATAGCCAGGCCCTGGTCCATGAGCCAAACCTTCTCGTCTGCCCTGTGAATGGAATGGCCACGCAAAGAGGAAGATTGTAGATGTAACTTGGTGGAAGATTTCAGAAGACACATGAAGAATGGCCCCGGAATCCTACAAGCCAAACTCTATATATTTAATCGCATCCAAGCTTTTTTTTCTCTCATTCAGTGAAAGAACTAGCATTAAGAGTTCTCTAAAATCTTTTTTGTATCACTACTTCCGAAACAACGAAGAAAATGTTCCTAATTTAATCTATTTTTGGCAACAGGATTGTCTTCGATCCATTCTCTTCAGATATCTGGGCATCTTTAAATTCCAACGATGAGATATCAACATTTGCCAATGCCCAAATCGATTGGAAAGAGACCCAGAGGCTCATGTAATCAAGGCTGATCTTCCTGGACTGAAAAAAGAAGAAGTGAAATTGGAAATCGATGAAGGAAAGGTTCTTCAGTTAAGTGGAGAAAGAAGACAAGAATGAAAAGTAGCGCCGTATTAAGAAGTGGTGCCGTATAGAGAGGGGACGCGGAAAGTTCCTTAGGAGATTCAGGTTACCAGAAAATGCAAAAGTTGATGAAGTGAAAGTAATAATGGAAAATGGAGTGCTGACTCTGACAATACCAAAGGTGGAAAAAAAGAAGTCAGAGCTCAAATGCAATGATATCAGCAACTAGATTAGGAAAGCTTTCCAGCATATGAAAAAAATAAATAAGTAATGGAGTGATTGTGTTTATATCATTTGTTTAGTTTGTTTTTTTTTGCCAAAGCAGCTCTTATGCTAATGGGTAAATTCTTTATGTTTTTTAATGTTTCGCCTGTCACTGATTTGATGATAATGATCTATGATGGTTTTCAGTTCATTTCTACTTTTCCTTTTAGTATGGGAGATGTTTTTCTTAGTTTTAATATGGAAGATGGATATTCATTTTGAGGTTTTTTTGAAAGCAGGTGGGCATGAATATTTTCTACCCCTTCACCTGGCTGAATGTGTTGCCACTTCACCTTTTTTATTGTGTTATGTGCCTGAAATGTGTTGCCACTTCACCTTTTTTCTTGTGTTCTGTGGCTGAAATGTATTACCATTTAAGACCCAGGGACTAATTGCTTTTTTTTTGGCTGTATTGTGTGAACCATTTGGGATTAGCAGCTGAAGGGATTTCTCTTTACCTATCTGCCTTTTTCTGGCAAAACCCCTTTGCAAGCTTTTTCAATAAAATATTCATGCCCGTCAAGAAAAAAAGTGTATTAAGTCTTCTGCTTAACAATGGTTTTCCTGGTTTTCCATTGATTGCATGTCTTCAGACACTTCACAAGCCGAAGGAATCATTGATCCTATATGACTTCTATCAACTTTTCCAAGTTTTTTTTTTGAAAAATAGACATTTCATTTCAACACAACAGAGATTTAAATCAAATTCCTGTAAGAGTACAATAACAGCACCAGATTTTAAGTTGTTAATAGACCCATATCAATTTAAATCCAGGCTTTACAAGAAAACCACACAGCAAAAGTATCCCTTTGCCAACATTACGAAGATCCATCTTACACTATTTTAAGGCTGCTTGGTAATCTTTTGCTAGCAACATTACGTAGGAATGAGTGACCGTATATCAGTAATCAACCGCTGCAGGTTGCAATACGAAGATCCACCTTCCTGGACACTCTCTTCTGCCCGTCTTGCAATCGGATCCATTGACTTCATTATACTCCATCTCGCTTATCTTCCATTAGATCATTCACCAGTTTCTCAACCGTTGATCTGTCACATGTATCTTTCATATCAAAACCAATCCTCCATAATGCACTCACACATCTGCTGTTGACTTGCTGGTCAGCACCCGTGGGCCAACAAATCATGGGCACCCTCGCGTATATGCTCTCCAGGGTTGAATTCCATCCGCTATGGGTCAAGAACCCTCCGACGGCCGGATGGGCTAAGACCATTTCTTGAGGCACCCAACTCACTATCAACCCTTTCTCCGGCGACATGTTTTCAAGCTCCATTAGGATTTGTCCTGGACTTGAATCATCTTCTTGTTGTCCAACAATGGGGTTGGGTCGAATGACCCACAAGAAAGGCCTGCAGCTATTGAGTAAACCCTGCCCAATCTCAAGGATTTGGCTGCGAGATAAACTTGCCAAACTCCCAAAGCTAACAAAAATGACTGATCCCGATGGTTGAGCATCCAGCCATGTAATGCAGCTTGTGTCTTCTTTGCAGATGGTAACATTGATTGAATGTAAAGGATTTGAATTCTTAATACAATAGTTATTAAGCAGACCATGCAAAGGACCAGTGGTGTAAATTTTAAAAGGCAAAAAGGAGCTAAGTTTAGAGATTACTGGGGCTTCGAGTTTGTCAAAGGTGTTAAGTATCAGACCATATGCCTGAGACACAGCTGAGGATCCATAATTAGTACTGATTTCTATGACTTGTTTGCAAGCTGCGTCAAGCCTGCAAAAACCTGATAGATCCCGGCGTCGAACAGACATTCCCAATCCTGGAATGGAAGTGACCGGCTTGTCCATATCTTTATCTGTTAAACAGAATATGATTTAATTTCTCACTCTTCACACAATTAAAATTAAAAGTCAAGAGATTTAGATGGTCGCAGCAACTATATGCATGCCTATAACCTCGTAATGGAACTTCCCCTTCTTCGATGAGCTTCAAGAGATGAAAGTCCATCCACATGTAGTGAGCACACCCTACTTGATAGGCGAAGACAGGAATATTCCCAAACTCCTTGGTAACATCCAGGGCGGAAGAACACATGATTAGCCAATCTGCTATGATGCACGTGGGAGGCCGCCGCCCTGTTTTTGGCTCCAACAACTCACTCAAAGCTGGCTTCGCCGCAGCTTTTATAGAGAGCAAACAGTCAACAAAACCTTGTTCGGACAGTCTGTGTTGATCAAGACCGAGTGGGACATTATCAGGGTAGGACAAGAGCTGAAAATTAGGACACTGGCGACGGAATGCTGGAATGTCCAAGGAAAGAAGGAGAAGGTCGTGGTTGCGTTGAGTGTTTAGGAAGGTGACTCGGAAATTGGCATGACTGAGAAGTTCTGCTAGCCTGAACATGGGCTTGATGTGGCCCTGGAAAGGGCAGGGCAAGAAGACTACTTGAGGAACCTGGGGTTCTGGTTGCTCCATTATTTGACAATAATTTGCTTTGGGCTATTGGTTGCTCAATTCCGGATGATAACACCCAAATATACGTAGAAAACTTCTAGGAAACATCAATATCTGAACATGCAGACATGAGGCTCCACACAGTATTGTCGGCTATCTGATTATGATCCACGAGACTGGAATTGGAGGACAAACAGCAATACATTTCCTCTGGTTTTCATCTTTTAATTAAATTAAGTTGATGTAGGAATATATTATTATATTATAATTTTGTAAAAACTATAAATATAATAGAATTTTTTTATTTAATTTAATTTTAGGCTAATTTTAATTTAATGAAATTTCTAAATATTGGTGATTTACTTTAGTAGGAATTTTAATCTTATCACAGTTGATTTCTTTTACAGCATCCAAGTATCTTTCCAGCACTTCACATCATAAACATTTTCCCAACTGTTTTATTTAAAAGAGTAGGTACCAGCGTCATAAGTGCTTTCCTAACTCTCCAATATGGTTTTTATAATTTGAATATTCCACTTACAAATTCTTGACGTTGGGACATTGGATTAACATTAATTGAAGAACCTATCTGTCGAACTTGTACTCCATGGGGTGAAAAGATACTGCCAAACATCAGAAATCAAAATCTTAATAATTCTAATAGCAATTCAGCATTAATCTAATTTTGTTAATTGTAGCAAGATTCGGATAATAATTACTGGACCAGCAGTGCTTAATTCCCAGTCTGATATTTGATCAGAGCTTTCAGATACATTGACATTATTAGGTGTTCAATCAATTTCCCCAGGTTGCTATCAGAAGAGCCACCTTCCTTGACATTATCCTGAGCTTGCTTTGCAATCTCGTCCATTGATCTCATAGTTTCTTCTCTTTTATACTCTCCATGAAGCCTCTCACCAGGAATGCCTAGGTTACACGCAATTGAATATGATTAAAGCACAAGAATGGTATGTATTATCCAGCTTTGTAATACTCGATTCTAGCAGTCATATCGAGTTTTTAACCTTTTTTTTAATATTATATGTATAAAGTAAATGATGGTGGACGTATTCAGTATTTATGAAGGTGACTTGGGTGCTAGCATAACTAAGAAGCTCCGCTAGTTTGAGCATGGGTTTGACACGGCCTTGGACAGGAAAGGGCAAGAAGACAGCGTGGGGTGCTTGAAGTTCTTGCTGCTGTTGCTTCTTTTTGATAGATTTTTTACTATAGTTAAGCTCCTGGATTTTGAACTTTGGAAGAATGAACTTTATGTATACATATGCAAGATAATTGAAACCAAACTTGTACTCCATCATAACACGTTATTGAGTTTCTAGTTCTTGAATTAGCATCTCTAAGTTCCTAGAGGAAGACCCGCCATGGCTAACACGCTCTCGAGCCAGCTTCGACATTCCATCCACTGATCTCATAACCTCCACCCTTCGATCTTCCATCAATGCCCTTACCATCTTCTCCACCGTTGACCTATCACACGTGTCCTTCAAATCAAGTCCAATCTTCCACACCTCACTCACACATCTGCTGTTGACCAATTGGTCAGGTAGTTTAGGCCAACATAGCATGGGGACACCAGCCACCATGCTTTCAAGGGTCGAGTTCCAACCGCAGTGGGTCAAGAACCCACCCACCGATGGATGAGCCAAGACCTCCTCTTGGGGCGCCCAATCCACAAGCAACCCCTTTTCTTTTGACCCCAGATCGAGCTCTCGTGCAATCATTTGGTCATGGTCCTTCTCTCCTGCGATCATGTCTGGTCTAAGGACCCACAGGAACCGCTTACAGCTGTTCACCAGCCCGTGCCAGAACTCCAATAATTCTTCTCTTGTTAAAACCACATAGCTTCCGAAACTCACATAAACAACAGATCTTGGCGGTTGTGAGTCAAGCCAAGTGATGCAGTTGTGGTCTGCTTCCCTCAGGTGGCCGTTAGATGATGAATGTTGTGATAGATCTCCAAGACGAGCTTTCCAGAGAGCATGGAGAGGTCCAATAGTGTAAACCTTAGGAAGAAGGGGGATCATTTGAGAGAGAACAGGAGCTTCCAGGGAGTCAAATGTATTGAAGATAACGGCAAAAGCTCGAGTCATGGCTTGAGTCTCGCTTACAAAGAATTGAAAGTTAGGGTCTTCCAATTGTTTCAACCCGAAAGAATAAGGCCGATCATGCAGTCTTAAACTGCCTTGCATTTCTGGAACGCTGCCAACTTCCTGACTCATGTCACTATCTGTAAGAATTTTATCTTGCTAAAATTTTTCAAATATAGTACTAAAAATAAATGTAGAATTGAAGTTGAGCAGTTTAAAAGCTTACCTGAAAATTGAAGCTCTCCTTGTTGAATGAGCTTGGGAACACAAAGATAAGACCACAAGCAACAACTACTTATAGTTCCAAAGATAATAACTTTTATTTGTAACTCTTCTGCAACATCAATGGCAAAAGACAAAATCCCATCTGCTATTATGCAACTAACGGGAGGAATATCAGATTTGTGGGACAAAGAGATAAGCAAATCCCGGAGAAGTGGCTTGGTAACATTCTTGATTGAGTGCACTAAGTGCATGAAGTGTACAAGGTTACGTGGATGTTCTTCAGGGAGTCCATCGGATATAGACTGGAAATGAAGGGTGGGGAACCGAGTGGAGAGGTCTTGGAGGTTGCTTAAACGGCGGTGACTATGGTGGTTGCTGAGGAAAGCGACCCGGAGACCAGCTTGACAGAGGAGCTCTGCTAGGCAGAGCATGGGTTTGATGTGGCCTTGGGCAGGGAAGGGCAAGACCAGAACATGTGGTTGCCTCATCTCAAAGTCACGACTATTGGATAACGGTAACATGTCTTTCTATGAACACATGTAATGTTAAATTAAGCATCAAAATTTGAAAAAAAGATTAAGCATTAATGCATTATCATTTCTCTGATTAAAACATAGGTTCCAATACATTGTTTTATAATGACAATACAATGTTATTACCAGTGAAGTGATAATACCTTCAGATCACTTCTTGCCTTCAGAATTGTTGTGAGCTAAATGACTCCTTAACCGTATGTCATCAATCAATTTGTCGAGGTTGCAGAAAGAAGACCCCCCTTCCTTGACAGCTTCATGAGCCAACTTTTTAATCTCATTCACTGATTTCATGATCTCTTCTCTTTTATCCTCCATCAGATCTCTCACCAGTTTCTCAATCAATGATCTATCACACGAATCTTTCATGTCAAAACCAATTTTCCACACATCACTCACAAACCTGCTGTTCATTTGCTGGTCACCGATTGCAGGCCAACAGATCATGGGCACGCCTGCAAATATACTCTCCAAGGTTGAGTTCCATCCGCTATGAGTCAAGAACCCACCAATGGCTGGATGTGTCAAGACCTGTTCTTGAGGTGCCCAACTCACCAGCAGCCCTTTGTCTCCCGTCATGTCTTTAAGCTTCCCCAAGATTAAGCTTGGACCATCCTCTCCAATAACTGAGTCTTCTCGAATGACCCACAAAAAGGGTTTACCACAATTAACCAAGCCATGCCACAACTCGAACATCTGGTCACGCGTCAAGATGATTACACTACCAAAGCTAACAAAAATAACTGAATTTGACAGCTGAGAATCAAGCCATGTCATGCAACTTGTGTCTTCTTTCCATAGAATATTTTCACCTGATGCTAAAGGTATCAGGTCATTGATGCGGACGGTAGAAAGACCATGCAAAGGGCCGACAGTGTAGACTTTGGTAAAATGAGAACCAAGTTTAGCTATCACGGGTGCTTCAAGTTCATCAAAGGTATTGAGTATCAAACCAGATGCCCGTGGCAAGACTAAGGTTTGATCGTTGATAAAGGATTCCAAAGCTGGATCATTGGCTCTCTTGATCCTGAAAATTCCTGGAAGATCACGGCGTCGAACAACATTCTCCAGTCCCGGAATGCAAGTGACTAGCTTGTCCATGTCTTCATCGGCAACTAAAATCAAAGGTTTGATTGCAATTCAAAGAGAAATGAAACAATCTCGAAAACAAAAGGATGGCATATAAGCAACATCATTGCTTCAGTATCTCAAATTAAAAGCTGGATAAGCATTACACCAAAAAAAATTGGGTATTCAATAATTAATGCTAGGACTGGCATGTGAAATACAACAAGATTGTTAGTCATATGCTGTATATAGTTAGGATAGAACTTATCTTTTTCTTTTTACTTAATTATAGTAAATAATTAAGGTTTGTTTTCTAGTTTTAAAACTGATTCCTAGACAAAACCAATTAATCCAAAAGGAAAACATGAAATCCACTAAGAAAAAGACTGTCTAAACGTGTATTTCAAGAATCTGAACCACAAAAGCACTGATCAAAGCATAAAAAAAGTACTTATTGAAGATACTTAAGAAGATTTGATCCCCAACTAACCTTGAAAAGGAACATCCCCTTCTTCCACGAGCTTTGGTAGATTAAAGTAAGCCCAGATGCAACAAGCACTCAATGTTCGCAAAGGGAAGAAAGGAATCTCAAATTGCTCTGAAACATCAATAACAGGAGATGACAATAACCCATCTGCTATTATGCACGTTGCAGGCTGTCGCCGTCCCTTTTCCTGGTTGAAAGAAATCAAAAGCTCACCGAGCGCTGGCTTGATCACAGACCCTAAAGACAATATCTTGTCATGGAGGCTAAATAGGCCAGGGGGTGGACGATCGCGTGACGGACGAACAGGGTCAGGCATGGACAAGAACTCAAATTCCGGGTGCCGACGGTGGAATGCAGGCATATCCATGGAGAGAAGGAGACGATCGTGGATCTGCTGAGGGTTTAGGAAGGTGACTTGGAAACTGGCATGGCTGAGAAGCTCTGCCAGGCTGAGCATGGGTTTGATGTGGCCAAGAGAAGGGAAAGGCAACAAGACTACGTGTGGTACTCGGGGTTGTGTTTGCTCCATTTTGATTCTCCAAGGAATTTCGCTTTAGCTAGCTCCTGGGTTCTAATCTGCAGTAGTGTAAATGATGTTAATAGTTTAATTTGCTTCAAACCGATCGTATACAGACAAGGAGGTTCTTTCTTACAGTTACAGGAACATGATGAGGTTCTCTGACAATGGTTGGAGCTGACAGAATTTTCTAACTGCATAAAAGTAAAGCTGATAGAGTTTAGTATGGTAGTTTGGCTATTGGTGAACTGCGGGCCAGAGACTTTCTGACAGAATTTGGCCTTTTTCTGAAAGGGTAGAATGAATTTTTAAATACCAATTCACTAATCAAAGCATAACTTCTAAAGTGACTGGCCCCCTGCCTTTATGCAACTCAGTACATCTTATTTAGGATCTTCTTTGTTTCAACTGGTGAAATGCTAATGCCTTCTAATCACTTCTTGCCTTTCGAGCAAAATGACTCATGCACGTCTGGGCCGCCTCCCTCGGTGCTGTCTTCTTCCTCTCTTCTTCCTCAGCCGTTTCAGGCCATCCTCTGATCTCCCTCAGATTTACGTGATTCATAGCTGAGATATGGCAATCGAGAGTTTTGTTGATATAGATTTGGACAATATTTATAGGATGCCTACTAACGTTTATTATTTAGGATACATTGTTTTATAATTGGTGAAATGCTAATGCCTTCTATCACTTCTTTCCTTCCGAGCAAAATGACTCATAGACCAAATGTCATCAATCAATTTCTCAAGGTTGGAGAAAGAAGAGCCCCCCTCCTTGACAGTTTCATGAGCCAGCTTCTTAATCTCATTCACTGATTTCATGATCTCTTCTCTTTTATCCTCCATCAGGCTTCTCACCATTTTCTCAATCGTTGATCTGTCACAGGTATCTTTCATGTCAAGACCGATTTTCCACACATCACTCACGAACCTGCTGTTGATTTGTTGGTCACCAATTGCAGGCCAACAAATCATGGGTACACCTGCATATACACTCTCCAAGGTCGAGTTCCATCCGCTGTGGGTTAAGAACACACCGACAGCTGGGTGAGCCAAGACCTCTTCTTGAGGAGCCCAACTCACCATCAATCCTTTGTTGTCTTCTATCATGGCTTTCAGCTCCCCTAGGATCAGGCTTGGATCAGGCTCTCCTGTAATTGAGTCTGGTCGAATGACCCACAAAAATGGATAACCACTATTCACCAAGCCATGTCCGAACTCAAGCATTTTGTCTCGTGTCAAGCCTATTACACTCCCAAAGCTAACAAAAACAACTGATCTTGACGGCTGAGAATCAAGCCAAGATATGCAACCTCTATCTTCTTTCCAGAGAATACTGTTGCTTGATGCTGAAGTTGTTAGGTCCTTCGTGCAGGCATTGGAGAGACCATGTAAAGGACCGACAGTGTATATTTTGTTAAAAACAGCACCCAGTTTAGATATCATGGGTCCTTCAAGTCCATCAAAAGTGTTGATTATCAACGCAAATGCTCGTGGCATGACTAAGGTTTGGTCGTTGATAAAGAATTCCAAGCCTGGATCATGAGCTCTCTCAATCCTGAAATTTCCGGGAAGATCTTGACGTCGAACAACATTCTCTAGTCCTGGAATGCAAGTGACTGGCTTGTCCATGTCCTTATCTGCAACACCATACAAGTTAAAACCAAGGTAAATGATAATGAATCATTAAAGAGTTTTTTTTTTTCTTAATTGCATCATAGATTCTGTTAAATTCAGACTTGATGGGATACACAACATTGCTAATTATCATGTAAAGAGGGAGCTAAGTGTAAATTGGGGTCTGGGAGATAACATTTTTGTTTGATGTTCCATCTTTTCCATTGTTTGCCTGCTTCTGCAGGTTGCTTCCTCTGTAGCAGGCAATTTCCTGCTTTTCTTAGATAAATACAAATCTCAATTATCCAAACAGAGATACCACAAGAATGCCAGATCAAGGTAAGTGGTTAGCTTGCCGCTTCTTTCCTTAATTATATACAAGTAATCAAGAATCTGATTGTTTACCATTTCATTATCAGAGCGTGCATACAATTATCTTATTCTTGTTGGTGATTTATCTAGTTTTCTGCTATTCCTTAGAGAAAATCAACCTAGCAACTTAAACACGAAATCCTTTGAGAAAACAACTAGCTGAAAATGTGATGAGAATTGCTTTGATCCAACTAACCTTGTACCACTGGAACATCCCCTTCTTCAACGAGCTTAGGTACATGGAAGTAAGTCCAGATGCAACAAGCACTCGATGGACGGAAAGCGAAGACAGGAACCTGAAATTCCTCTGCAACATCAATAACAGAAGAAGACAATATCCCATCTTCTATAATGCACGTAGCGGGCTGCCACCGTCCCTTTTTCTTGCGAAGGGAAATCAAAAGCTGACGGAGCGCTGGCTTGATCACAGGACCTGTAGCCAATAAAAAATCACCCAGACTCATAGTGCCCGAGCGTGGACGATCACGTGGTACAACATCTGGGATCGTCAAGAACTGAAACTCAGGGTAGAGTGCCAGCAAGTCGGTGGAGAGGAGACGATCATGGATGTGTTGCATGTTTATGAAGGTGACTTGGAAACTGGCATGGCTGAGAAGCTCTGCTAGCTTGAGCATGGGTTTGATGTGGCCAAGTCCAGGGATGGCCAAGAACACCACGTGGGGTACTTGTGGTTCTGCTTGTGACATTTTTGATTCTTTGAAGGAATTTTGCCTTAGCTCCCTGGTTTTCACAAGAATCGTTAAGTAGATCCAGCACGTGCATTACTTAGTTTGACTTCGGCCTCGCGGCGCAAAGGCCAACGTTAATTTGGATCCACATGTTTTGGTTTGTTGCGTGGCTACGGCAAGGTATAGCTTGGCTCGACGTAAAATATTTTTCAAAAATATTTTTTTATAGGTCAATAAAAAAACTCCACTAACGATATAAAGTGTGCACCCATGAGATGATCTAAATAATAATAAATATTTTTGATTATTTATTTAAGTAACAAAAAATTTAAATTTTTAAATAAACTATATAAATTTTTTAATTTTTAGTCATAATTGTATAAAATTTATTAATTTTTAAAATAAATACTTTTTTCAAAAAAAATCTACGTGGAACATAAAAATATAATTGTTAATTATTGTCGTTAATTTTATAACTTATCAATAATGAAAAAATGATTTTATTTTTTATTAATTTTAAAAATTATAAAATTATATATATTTTATTAAAGCCTACACTACTTTCGCCAGCAGACCATTGCCCCCAGGGAGCACCAACAGCACCGATGTGGTGGCTAGTCGATAAGAAACGTCTTCAATCAATTTGAAAGAAAGAAAAGAGTAAAAAGAAGAGTATTTTAAACATTTAATGTTTAAGTATTAACATTATTTATATATTTAAATAAAATATTTATTTTAAAAATTAATAAATTTGTATAAAATTATAATTAAAAATTGAAAAGTCTATATATTTTACCTTAAAATTTTCTATAAAATATTTCATGAGGTAATTTTTCTTTGTTTTTTATTACTAAACGGACTTTAAATGTGTTGGGTTGGGCTTGCTAATCAATCAGGCTGAACCAAAATCTGAAGACCCCAAAGGAAATACGTACTCTCAAAAGGGTCAGATCAAGGTGCCAATGGTGCAGAGCTGGACTCTGGTCCTCCCACATGACACTCAGGCCTGAATTGTCCTGTCATTCAATGGGGTACCATTTGTCCTTTTTTTTTTTTTTAAGACAAAAATTTGATGAAATTCATAACATTTTACTCGGTATATATCCAATATTATAGTGGATTTTGTCGAACAAGTTGCAAAGATAGCTGCTAAAAACTAAAACCCCAAAAGAATCCATCTTAGATTTGTTACTTTGTCTTCTTATCTAACTATTTAGGATTCATGAATCCCATTCCTCACCAATTTAGAAATCTCTAAACAAAACAATTGGTTTTATATTTAATACATTATCAGAACATAATATCAACAACACATCAAAGGCAAAAATTTAAAAAATTAAAAAAAAATAAAAAGACAATAATTAATCATTTCATAAGTAACAATTTTGGCTTTAACCCACCAATTCCAACAAAAGAATTTGTAATAATGAAAGATCTGATTTCTCAAATTGGTGAGACAAAAGGAATTTTATTTTATTTTTGGATAGGAATAAGTTAGAATGAATATTTTTCACTATTAATCTTTAATAAAGTGTGTTAAATCGCCTACAATGCCTTTATTTTTTTTTTCCCATTAAAGGTGAAAGGTTGAATGCATGCCAAGATTGGAATAAGACAATCCTAAAAGAGGGACAGAGAAAGAAAAGAATTGCGAACAAAGATTCCCATTAAAGATACTTCCCAGAATTTTCCCCACAATTTTATTATTTTTTTTTAATTTTTGTGGGGCTAAGCTTGCCTTGGGCTTTTTGAAAAAAAAAAAATTAAAGTCTATATAGTTAGTAAGCCTTTGTTGAATATTTCGACCATTTTATTTTATTTTATTTTTTCTGTCTCATGATGATTGTCAACACTCTTTTTATCTTATAACTTTTTAATCAAGATGACTTTTTTAATCTTAGTTTTGTGTTATCAAAAGAAAAAAAATCATTTATGCATTAACAACTATTAAAAAAGAAATTAAATTGTTACGGAATTAACGAGATTTAAAACTCCGAATACATGAAAATGTTAGAGTTTATTTATATCAAGAAAATTATTTTTTTAATTTTTAATTTTTGTTTATATTCTAAATACAAGGACTTGGAAAATAAAAAGAAATAAAATTTTTTAATGCGATAAAAAAAGTTGAAAAATAATTCAAATAATCAATCATTTCATTTACTTCATGAAATCATTTATTATAATGTAAAAAAAAAGAAAAATTAAGAATATAATTTGTAAACTCCAATTACATTTCTTATTATTTTAATTATTTTTCTCACACAATATTTTATGTTAATTCTGTGAGTAAGTTCTACTATTAAAAAAAGGTAAATTATTAATTTGAAATAAAATTACCATAAATATAACTAAATATATTAATTTTTAAATTAAGAATATTTTGATAATTTTATTAAATAAAATTAATAAACATAATTGTTTACAAAAATAAAATACAATTTATTTATAAAAAATAATTAAAAAATTTTGAAATCATGACGAGTATGGTTAAAGTTTTTTTTATATATATAATTAGTGAAGCCCCAAATTTGTTTAAAAAACCGTGCAACGTAATTTAAGGGAACCAAGAGTCAGAGGAGGAACAAAATCACAACTATGGAAGGCAGTAAAGACAAATACTAAGAGTCAGTAATCCAAGACTTTCAGCCTATCCAATTGGGCGCCTAAGCCTCTCTAATCGGTGCATGCAAGCCATCTCATCATAATAATTAAACGCAATAATAAAGAGAAGGGAGCCCGCTGATGTAGACCCACCCCGCGGGGTGGCGCGTAGGACCCACACAAGTCCATCGGGATTCGTCCCCACGGTGAAGAATTGGTCTTTAAAGTCACGGCTAGCGGGTCCCACATTTCTCGCCAAATCCCCCGCCATCTTTGATTGTCCCCCTCCCCGCCTTTTAACCGTTCGATCTACAAATATATAGTCAAATCAAAGACACGCTGATATAACGCCAAACGTTATTACTCCCTACTCTCTCTTTCTCTCGCTCAGTCACTCGCTCACTCTGTCTCCTCTTCCAACCCCGGTTTTTTTCTCTGGCAGTGATTGTTTGCCGCTTTTTCCTTCTGTATTTTGTTGTTTGGATGGAGTGAAAGAAGAAAGGAAAATCGGCGATTGCTTTGGACAAGAGGATTGTTTTGTTCTTTGTTTTGAGTTGGCGGTAATTGTTAATTCTTTACTTTGCTTAGAATCTACGTCGAGTTTGTTTGTTTTGTTTTTCTTTTTTTTTGGCGTTCGGGATTATCGCCGACTTGCTTTTCTTTCTGTAATCGAGATCGGCGAGTTTTTCGAGACTCGCGTCACTCTCTTCAACCTGCATTGCCTCCATTTCTAGCTGGTAACGATTCCATTTTTCTTTTTTGCTTGATTAACTTCGCTTTGTTTTTTCTTTTCTTGTTAGTTTAATGCTCCGTTTGATTGCTGAGAAACAAGAAAGAAAATCAAGAGTAATGAAGAAGGAGTATTTTTATTTATTTATTTTATTCATTTGTTTCAGATGGACATTATAAGATTAAGAAATGGATGCTTGTTGCTAGCTGCTGGTTTGGAAGAGTGGAAAACTTTATTTCTTGTTTTCTGTTGCATTTTCCGTTATTTTCTCAACTGCCAAACATATGCTGGATTTGGTGATCCTTGATTAATATTCTTTTTTTGGATCTGTGAGATTCTTTTTGTTTTCCACGGGAATCGAATGCGGATGGTTGTGTTTGGTTGTTTGGAGAATGAATATTGATCAGAGCTTTAAATATGCTGTAGATTAAAGAGAGAAAATAAAGCGTCGATATAAATTAGTATCTTTCTTGTTTTCTTTTCTGTACTGTAAGAATTACTGGACCAATGATTGACTTTCTTGTAAATGGGAGGAAAAAAAATTCAACTTTGGGACCTTTTTTAACTGTGATTGCTAATGACATTAGTAGTGTTACAGCTGGAATCCCCTAAGTCATTTCGTTTGATCGTTTGATGTGCTCTCAAGTTACCGAAGGTTTTGTAATGTTACTTTTGTTATCTTTGAATGGAATTTTATTTTTCTTAGTTCCTTTGATTTTGTGTTTATGTGTTTTGCCATAGGGAAAATGGACCTATGGGCAGTTAAAAATGATGAGCTAGGATTTGTTTGACCACAGATGATTAGAATAAGTTTTTTTGCTGCATTTGTTGACCACAGATGATTAGGACAAGTTTTTGTTCAAATAGGTGTGGGGAGGAAATTTGACATGTTTTGCTAATGTGACTTTCAAGATGAGCAATAATGTAGTATATTATAGCATATATTATATTCAGCTATAAACCAGGTTATTCAATCAAATTGTTAAACTGCTTATGTGAGATCCTCTCTTCCTTTGCACTCTTGCAGCTAAAATGTCTTCATGAAGCACAATAATATTTGATTTCATGCCATTTGATAGAAGAACCTCTGAGGGACATGGGATTTGGTTCAGAGTCAAAAAGGAGTTCAAACCTGCAGCAAAACTCAAAGATAGTGAAGGAGAAAACTCAGTTGCCTCAAGCGAACCTGAGGTTGAAGAATCAAGGGAAGTTAAAAGGAAAGAATGGTATTGCTCTTCCATATGGTAATCTGCCAGGTGAACGAGGACAAAACCAAATCCACAGCACCTTGGTTGAAACAAAATCCTTAGGGGATTGCCAGGGGCAGCCTCACAAGGGTAAGCCAACAAAGGAGGATGAGCTTGTCAAGTACATGTCAAACTTGCCGGGTTACCTACAGCGTGTAGACATTGGAGAAAACCTTCAAGAGAAGGCATTGAATGTTGGGGTTCTAGATTGGGCACGTCTAGAGAAATGGAAGCACCACCAAAAGCGTATCCCTAAAGTAACTGGCAATGATGTATCATCCACAAGCACAATTTCATCGATGAAAACAAATACCAAGTCATCTGTCCTTTCTAGTGCAGTTCCCAAGGATACTGCAGCCAATAAAAGCAAGCAACACCAACAAACTTGCTCCAGTCTTAACTCATCTCACAAAGAAGGCCTTCCTCGAAGTGCAAAACCATCTACTCAGAAGGTTAGACACTTCCAAGATATTGAAACTGCTTCCAAGAGCACCTTGGATCAGCAGAAGAAGACATCCAAGATATATAAATCCTCTGGCACAACTTATTCACATGCAATTCTTGACAAGGGGAAGAAAAAAGAGTTAAATCAGAAAATAACTTTGGAAATGGGAAATATGTCATCAAACATGAGAAACCATGGGGTTTCACCTCTGCCAAAGGAAACTGTTAATGTTTGTGATGGTGGAGCCAAAAACAGAGTAGAGCAGAGGCAGGAAATTGATGTAAATAAAAAGGATTTGGATCCGAAGAATACTTCAGACGTGGAGGCTTCTTCATCCAAATTCAGAGATTATGCTGTTTTACTCGGTTCTAGGAAAAAGCTGGATGCTGCAGGTGACAAAACTAAGGAGACACAGGACTCAAAAATTGATCTTGCTCATCAAATTTCTCCTGGTGAACACAAGAATATCGTTCTTCTTCGACCAAGATCCGCCCGAAATAGCTTTTTTGAAGAACCCCCAGAACTATATGATGGGACTTTGAATGAAGCAAACCGGAATAGTTTTTCGTGTGACTTCCTTCAGAAGGTTCGCTGTGGGGAATTATGTTCTGAAGTTCCTCATTCTTATCCATTGCCTTCTGGAGTTGAGATGAATCCTGCAACTGACATCATGGCACAGGGTCTGGAGCCTTCATCTAATGCATCTCATGGGTCTGCATGCTCAAATAACTCAGGAAATTTAAGATCTGAAGGCAAGCATTCAGCAGAGAACAAGATTAAATCTCAGGATGCTGATGTTGAAACTTTAAAGATACTGGAAGAAGAAATGGCTGAGCTGGCAACGAGAAAAAGTAGAAGTAGTTCACCAAATCGCCGTTTTAGTTTCAGCTTAAGTCGTATGAGTAGAAGTTTCAGTTTTAAGGAAGGTTCTACTGCCCCACAATTGAGCTCCACTTATGTTTCTGTCAAGTCTGGTCCAGTGAGTTCTGATTCTTCTGGTATTTTGGACGATACAATCAGAGAGAAGGTGAATGGCCATAATAGAGCTAGGTCCAGCCCCTTAAGAAGGATGCTAGACCCGCTACTGAAGTCCAGAGGCTTGCATTCTTTTCGTCTCACTGACACTGTTCAACCTTCAAAAGGAAGCTTGAATTCCTCTAGTGCAAGGCCAGTTAATACTAACAAATCCCTTCAGGAAGAAAAGTTTGAGTCATCAATGATTCAAGCCCTTCTACAGCTTACAATAAAGAATGGACTACCACTGTTTAGATTTGTTGTGGACAATGGCAGTAACATGCTTGCAACTACCATGAAAAGTCTAGCATCATCTGCAAAGGGGGGATCTGATCAGAGTTACATATTCTCTTCTGTTAGCGAAATTAAGAAGAAGAGTGGCAGCTGGATAAGTCAAGGAAACAAGGAAAAAAGTTGTGGCTACATCTGTAATATCATCGGACAAATGAAGATTTCCAACTCTCATATTTCAGACTTGACAGCAGAGGACTCTTGTAATCAGTATCCAGTGGTAAGAGAATCTGTTCTGTTTAGTGCGGAGCAAAGACAGGCAGATCAAGCAGCAGCAAAATTTACACCAAATGCAGAGCTCGCTGCTGTCGTCATCAAAATGCCTGGTGAAAGCACTGATGTACAGCAGGGTGATAAAGACATAACCAAGAAGGGCTCTACAGATTGTTTGGCTACAGATGGGTCCTTTTGCAACCCTGCAGAAAATGCAAGCTTTAATAGTACTACTGTCATACTTCCTGGTGGTGTCCACAGCTTGCCAAAGAAAGGAATACCTTCCCCGTTGATTGACCGATGGAAATCTGGTGGATTATGTGACTGTGGAGGTTGGGATGTTGGTTGCAAATTACGTATTCTCTCCAACCAGAAGAGAAGATGCTGTAAGACTTCAAGGACATGTCAAGTATGCCTGAATCCCAATCGTCTTGATCTCTATGCCCAGGTATTCTCTTTTTCTCTAATACCTTTTGGTCCTGCACTATATTATAATGTTTCCTGCTTATCTGAATTAGTTCTTGTTTTGTACTTATTGCAGGGAGAAGCACAACAGAACAGGCCTATCTTCAGCTTGGTTCCACATAAGAATGGAATCTACGCGATTGAGTTCAGTTCATCAATCACTGCACTACAAGCCTTCTTTATTTCTGTAACAGCTATAAGCTGTCAGAAATCCTCTGATCTGCCAGAATTCAGCAACCTGCCTGAAGGAAAAGTTATAAAGGAGACCGTACTGAATGGCAACCATGGAATGGAGAACAAACCAATCAATGTACTCAGGAACATGCCTGCAAAATATGCTCCAAACCCACCTCATTCCCCTGTCGGGAGAGTCTAGATTCGAACGGGAGAGTCTAGATTCGAACGCGGGACCTGGTTTGCTTTTCAGGTATAGCTTTCTCAAGTCTTTAAAGGTGGGAAGCCAGGTTAAGTCTTTGGTTAGTGACACATACAGGGAATCGGGGTGTAGGCCGGCCTGTTAGACATTACGAGTAGATCACTTGTATAAAAGAAATAATGGCATTCAATATACCACTCACTGTTTTAATCGAGTGAGTTTTTTTCTGTAAAGTGTCAGAGAACAACAAAGTCCTACATATTATTAGCAGCAATGTTCTAGTAATATGCGGCGTGGTAATAAAGTCATTCTGGGTTCTCTTCTTTCTTGTGATTGTCAGGAATGCGACCATTTTTCTTTCTTTCTTTGGAGTCAGGGAAGATAAACATGGATTGGTGATCTCAATGAGTAGGGTAGGCGTTATTTTTTAAGTATTTTAATCTGAATTTTATTATTCCATAGGAACTCAAATCTTATAATTCAAAATCATGTCCGAATATCTTAAATATTAATCATTAAATATTTGCACTCGTTAGATTTCTGATAAAAATAAATAAATTTTTATCCATATATCTGTGCATATTATTGAAATTCAATATTAAAAGTCATTATTTATAATTAAGTTAAGAGCATCTGAATTTTATCAAACTTGTATGAGATATAGTTCTATCCGAGTTTGATTATAGAATATCATAATCTAACTTAATCGGATCGGATAATATAAAATACTCAATAGATAAAATTGGCTCAAAATTATGTCAAAACTTTGGTTGTTGCAATCGTATGGTAAGTGAACCATTTCCATTTATCCCTTTCTGTTTGGGTAATATTCGTTTCATATAAAGTTTCTTTTGATAGCATAATGTATGGAATGTTACTTCAACAAATTTACATAAAAGATGAAGAAAAAGCATTGGCTTGAAACACCCACGTAGATCATCCATGTTCGAGAATGCATATCCTTTTTGGAGCAGGGAGACAACGTTGTTATTATCATAAAGCAAGCTGAATACATTAACTGAACAATGTGCACTGCAGCAGGAAAGAAACAGGGGGAAGGTTAATGGAAGTTTAAACCATTTAGAACATACTTCCAGAAATAACTTGATTTATGCTAACATCCACCCGAATTTCAGGAGTTTGAACAATCAGGCAGGTTCTACAGACCAAAATGGATATACATTGATGAATTGACTCAAAAAGTGCAGAAAATACCGATGAAGAAGCGCAGATGGTTTCACAAATCGACCAGAGAAGCATGGTGAATGCATATACACCATTGACCATTAATCTTCTCGAACACGTTTGTTACAAACTGTCCTCCCCAACTGCTACCTTTCGTCTTGACAAATTCCATGCATGTGACATATCCAACATCCCCTTTAACATGAACTTGAACGTTTTTCAGCTCTATCTCTAGTGGAAATTCGTAGTTCATCCATACGACTTCCCAACTTCCCATCACGTAATCGTAACCTGATATTCCGTTTGCCCCTGGGTGCACACAACACACATCATCTCCTTTGGCCCAAAGGTTCTGCATGGCGGCTAGATCCCCTCTCCTGAAAGCATCGTAAAACCGAGAATTTGCTGCCAGTACTGAAGCCTTGCTATCCTCATGGAGGACTCGAAGGTCATCCCTGATTCTTGCTGCTTGGGCATAGTTTTCTTCCTCAATGGCATTCTGCAGGTCCCTTTGTAAGGTTTGTTCATCCATTATGATGCTTTCACCACTTAGGGTTCCCTCGAGGTCATCACCTTTTGATTGACAAGGGATCAACGATAACATACATGAATTTTCTCTAAAAGGTGCTGCACTAAATTAATCAAGAATTAGACCTGCGTCAAACTCAAGTCCAATAATGAATTAAATTCATCCAATTAAAGACAAATTGAGGCACTCTATGGAAGCTAAATTTGGGCTCAAAATATGGATAACCTCACCAATCTACCAGAAGGAAGAGATCAACCAACTTAACAATTGATTTACAAGAACATTTTCAGAAAACTCAAAGGAAAAATTTTTGTTTAAAGCAAAAGCATGCTCAATGTGGCAACAATGTGTGAAACACACTGTGCATCCTAAAATTAGAACCAGACATTCTTCATGAACAACTGAAATTACATTAGCAGTTGATGAACAAGACATGTGATTTTCTAGAACAAAGAGGACAAAGAATTAAGTAACAGTTTTAGCAGAACATGTAAGATGAGAAGCTGCAATGATGGAGAGAAAGAGGAACACACTTTACAATGCCTTCTTTTCATACACAACCTGGGCCTGGATGAAGAAAGAACATTGCAGACAACAACAAAGCCAAGAAACTTACGAGGTCTTCCACTAGGCAACTTGGACAGACATTGACCCGCAAAAAACTCTGTTCCGTTTCCTGTTGAAGTCCTAGCTAAAACCACATGACATCGCTTTGGAGGTGATGGATAAAAGCAATGAAGACTCCTGAAACTGTTAGTGCTTGAACATGGCATGCAATTAACATTCACCTGGAACAATTAAAGAAAAATTCAGAGAAAACAGAAATATAAATAGCTGTAAGCGAAAAATTATAGCTTCCATTATTTCAAGAAGCCATTTCATCCCAAATAGATTGATATCAAAAGTGAGCTTGGAACCATATCAATAGGATTTAAATTTAAGAGCTCGAACTGGGTTTTTAACTACATTAAAAGATAAAAATTGCCCATTTATTCAAATTCAAGGAATCAATAGCAACTGAAACTTCAGCTATGGACAGAATAACAAATAAAGACACCAGGAGAAAATTAAACTTACATTGTAGCAAAAACTAGATCCCTGGAGTGCCATGAAAGGCAAGGTTATTTACATAGAAAGGTATTATAACAGAGACCAAAAATCAAAGTTTTGGGTTTTGAAGCTAAAAGGGTTTTGCTTTGATTGCTCTATCTCCTGTGAGATCACGACAGGAGGCAGAACAGAAAAAATTGCTGTCGAGAGTATTTCAGGTCAAAGAAAACAAAGGTAATGGGCTTAGTGTCCAGTTGAATGGAACTCGGACATGGGCTGAATTGACATAAGTTAGATAAGCTATGGGCCTGATGCAGAGCTGAGTTTTGGTATTCACGAAAGATTTATGAATACTCCTACTCAGAAGGAACCATCGTTCTCGTTATGGAAAAATTTATTAACAAGTAGAACCTAGCAGACGATTCAATTTTCAATGGCGCAGACAATTTAGCTTAATTTGAAGAATAGGAATTACTTAAAAAACTGCAAATTCCAGCATGCCAACAACGTTATCTGATCCGCGCGGACGTGAGAAGGTCAGTAGGTAAGTTTCATGAACAAATAGCCAACTAGCCCCAATCAAAAGCTGTTCCCTTGCGGAACCGGACGTCTACTCAGACTAAGTCCTCTTTGATTTCACGTCTCCATTTCATTTTTTAAATCTTTTCAAGTACTTTTGGTTTCAACCGCAATGAACTCCAATGCAAGTTGACATTAGTGTTTCTATGTAATTTACTCAATCGCTATATAAAAGAGTTAAGAGATGGTAACGCAGGATATAGCCGGCCAAATTTAACCAGACAGGGCAATATGGTTTTTTCAGAATCAATTATCAGTCCATGTTTCCCTGAAGAAAATTGGGTGGTGGAAATAAAGGACATCCTGGAGAACAACGGAGAAGCTAAAGAAGTTGTTGTGTCTGTCTTCGAAGTGCCTGAACAGCTACGTGCTGCCAATCCTGTAGCTTATGCTCCACAGCTGTTAGCCTTTGGACCGTATCACCATTTCCGGCCTAAGCTCTATCAGATGCAGAGGTTCAAAGTAGCTGCGGCGGTGAAAGCAGAAAAGGATTGGCTTGTTGTTGATTTTCAACAGCTGGTTGCTCAAATTGAAGGACTGGAGTTTCTTATCCGGACCTGTTACCAAAGACATTTAAACATCCACGCCGATACTTTGGCATGGGTATTGGCCATTGATGGTTTGTCCCTGCTCAAAGTGCTTCATTCTGCCCTATATTACTACAAAAACCTGCCTGGTTCATTCGGGAAGAACCCTTTTGCTGAATTTTCAAAAAGGACTCCAGACCTTGATATGATCCTCAGAGATATGCTAATGCTTGAGAACCAAATTCCAATGATAGTGTTGAAAGCAATAGCAGAAAAGAGGCCTGGGTCTGATAACCTCCTGCTTTTGGTTGACTTTTGTGAGACTCTCTCTCCGCTTCAATTAACCTTCAAACCTTCAGCTTCAGAAGTCGTCAAGCATAAGCATTTGTTAGATCTCTTCTACCAAATGATCATTTGTCCCAAAGAAGTCATAAACACTTCTTTCAAGGAAGAGAAAGAGGATGAGCTGCAGGATTCAACAATGGAGATCACTAGTAACCCGGATTGTAATGTCTTCAAGAAGCTCCTAGCTACGTTATCTAAGCTACAATTCCGCTTCGCAGCACTTCCTGAAAAGCTCATGACATTACTTCTCAGTTCGCTTGAACTACTTGGAATAACCCCTCACGATTTTTTCGATAAGGACAGATCTTGGATTCCCACAGCCTCACAGCTAAATGATGCAGGATTGAAATTCTCCACCTGTGAAAGCATCAATCACATCAAATACGACAACCAAACTCTCTACCTTCCTGTCATCACTTTGAACTCAGCGCCTGACCCAGAAAACATTCTCAGCTCGAAGCTTACTTCAGAAGTGATACTGAGAAACCTAGTGGCATATGAGAGCCTGTCAAAGGATAAATCAGAGTCCTTGCCTTTCACTCGATACACCCAATTAATGAATGGGATCATAGACAATGATGAGGATGTGAATTTGCTGAAGAAAGCAAACGTTATCAAAGGTGATTTGAACAGAGTCGAGATTGCCGGACTGTTTAATGGGTTGAGTGAATCCATCGAGCCAAAAGACAGGGACATAAACATAGATGAAGCTATTACAAAAGTCAACCGATACTATGATAACACACTGAGAGTGAAGACAAACAAAATCCTGAAGAAGTACATATATTCCTCCTGGAGGTTTCTCACTTTTCTCGCCTCCTTCTTGCTCTTGGCTCTGCTTGCTCTGGAAACATTCTGTGACTTCTACACCTGTCGGGTTATGAGGTTTAAGGCAGCCTGAGTTTTGGTCCAGGACGGTTTTTTCTCCATTGTCTTGGATGTGGTCTTGCTTTGTTTCTTTTCCTTGTTCAAAATTCCAAAGAATTCCTGTGCTTCATGGTCCTTTTTATTTACTTAACTAAGTTCTTGATTTAGTCTTTGAAACCCCCCAAAAACAAAGGAAGAAGAAGTAGTTAATGGTGGTCTTGCTTATGTTTCTTTTATAGAATCCTGTACTTCCCTATTTGTTCCCTTAGACGTTTCAAACAAGAAACAGATCATGTATTTGATTTTCTATGTGATTATATATATATATGTATATATTTCTTGTTGATTACTTGCACCTTTCTCACAAATCAAACTTGGCTTAATTTAAGAACAATTGGGGAAGAAATAATCTTTTAAAACAGAAGATAAGAGAATCATATGTCACTTGCACTGTCAGGGTTTGAGTTATTAGCATTGATGAACTAAAGGTCAATTTTGTAGGCCGAAATATTATTTGCATGTTTTTTCAGAGAGAAAATTTGATTAAATATCTTTTTGTTTATTTCTTGACGAAGTCTCTTATCTTTTTTTTCTCGTCCAAACGAGTTTTTAAATTTTAATTTGTATTCAAATAAACTCTAATTGCAATCAAATTCAATGTCAACTATCATATCATGTTAATATGACATACGAACTTGTCAAATTAACAAATGATTAAGTGTGTGAATCATGTTATATATTATATGGATAGGAAATATCAATTGACATTAAATTTAACAATGAACTAATTTTACAATAAGATTAAGAACTTATTTGAAAACAAATAAAAAAATTATGAGTTCATATCGGTTGCGATAAAAGATTAGAGTTTTTAGTTCAAGAAATTATTGTAGTACAGAGACTTTTTTGCTATTTAAGCTTGTCTTTTTGTTATAATACTTTTGGTTGATTATACCTAATCACATGTTCAAAGATAGTCGTATACTATATTATAATGTCTAGTAAGACCACCACAGTCAACATAAAACCTTTTTCCTCAACAATTTTATAACTTCCAAAAACAATTAATTTTACTTAAATGAAACAAAGGGTATCTTTTAAATCAATTGATATGGAAGAAAGGACAAGAGCTTCAAAGAATTCAAGCCCAATGTGATTCTTTTGGGCTCAAATTCAAGCCTGATTGATTCAGTTTTGGCCCTTTTGGGTGTTTGTTTAGAAGCTTCTCTCCCCTCTTTCCTCCCTGGGAAAGATATGGAAAAATCTCCAGACAGATAAGATATTCCTAGAAGTTTCCTACCCTTTGAAATCTACATCAATTTCCTAAGCAGTTTCCTATTTTTAAAATGCAAAATGCACCAATGCTTCTAACTGAGACAATCAGGATGTTATTTGAAAGTAACATTAGTGTTTCTTTCTTTGATTTCATTTTGACAAGTTTTGTTCTTATTTTAATGGAATAATAATGATGAAAACAATAAGAATATGATATAATGGATGGCGCGACGAAAGAAAATTAAAAAAACCCATTAATATATGACAAGAAAATTTAAAAAATAAAAATAAAAAAACCAATACTAAAATTGAATTATTCTTTTTGTTTCTAATTATTTATTTTTTAAAACAATGAATAAAGAAAATGAAATGAAAACCGTATCGATTACGATGTACATATGCAAAGAAAGAAAATCCTTCACCCAACCTTACACCTTACTAAACCTTAGTTGTATGGAAGGTGTAGCATGTGCTTGAAAGCCTGGAGAGACTTTGGAGTTAAGTTTCTCCATCTTATTTCAATTCCCATAGTCATAAGTTTAGAAGATCTTCTAGAAAATGGAAAAATTCAACATAAAAAAAAAACCCAAAAAGATGTGGAAATTTATTCTATATAATATGTACAAAAATCCCAAGATTTTCAATTTCTTTAGTGGAAATAAACTTGACAATTCATGGCATGATCATGTCAATCCTTTCTATAATAAGATGATGTATTATGTGGCTCTAATTTGACTAGGTAATTAACAGAAACACCCTAGCAAATTGTAAACCCCAGGTGGATGATGCTGACATTGTGTTAGGTGCTTGAAAGGTGCTGCTCATGTATTGGGAATTTGGTACCACACCCTGCAAACACCAGAAGCTGAAAGGTTCAAAGGCAAGAAACAAATTAGCCACACCCGGCTAGGTCAGGTCCCTTCCTTTGAGTTTCCAAGGGTGACAGGGTCCCCCTCCCGGACCTAACCTAACCATATGATAGGCTGCTGTTGGATTCTTTCCAGAATGCAAGTTTAATTTGGCTTTGGGTTTTAATTTACGAAAATTTTGCCGTATAGTGGACTTACGAGAATTTATAAATTATTAATATATCAAATATAATTTTTATTTTGAATTATTAACTAATAATTTAAATGTCAATCCTTTTCACAAAAGAACCCAAAGTATTTAATAACAAAAAACAATTATCCAAAAAAGTCGACGATAAATAAAGAAAATAATGCGACTATTATATTCCTAACAAAAACGTAGAGATTGATTCAATTGATAAATTTATATATCAATGTTTGAATTCGATTGTAAAGTATTTTAATTTTATTTAAATAATACCGAATATTCATATACGTGTTATCCATTTTTTGTTTTTATTTTAATTTTTTTGAGGTTTCGGAACTGTTTGTTACATTTTTGCCCCTTTGAATAGGGGACGGGTCGGCCCGTCGGCAATAAGGACCATTGACTATTGACTGATTGAAATCCACGAGGCATGCCCGCACTCCTTGATCCTTGCCGCTGTCTGCTTTCTGTTTTCATTCATTTCATTTATCCAAGAATTTGGTTGACAAAAGGACTAATTTCTAATTGAATTGGCATAACTGCCCTTTACTGTCACCCAAAGCACTAGTCTGACCTTTTCATCTTTTAATTGCCCGAAAATAAGAAAAAAACATATTCCTTCCCTTTCTAAATATTTATCCGTTTAATTTTTATAAAAGTTGAAAAAATTGATTTTGATGTATTTTGCATTAAAGTTTGAAATTTTTTAGAATTTGGTGTTGGTAAAAAGAAAAATGACTTTATGTTGAAACTTTTTAAAAGGAAAAAAAAGGGATAAAGAAAACACTTGAAGTTACTATTTGAACCGTAATTCTTTTACAATAAAGTTAGATTTGAAAACTATACATGAACTATGAGTCTATGGGACTATGACTTAAAAAGGCATATAACCCACCAATTATAGTAGTGTTTTCTTTTTTTCTTCCCTATCTTTTGGATGCCTAGCATGAAAGATTAGTTTTCCAACCATTTTCCATCATAGTTGATTCAATTTTTGTACCTCCTACATGCAATTTGGTGTACCATGGGGAAGGGGGAATTATTCAATGAACCTAGGGCAAAAGAAAAAAAAAACCCAAAATTTATTATTAATACCAAAAATAAGAAATAATTTCCTTCGTATCAAACCATGGGAAAAAAGTGGTTTCACCTAAGAGCAATTATAACTTCATTAATGGATGCAAGAAAAGCATGTCCTACTAAAGAAAAAACAAAGCTTATAATTTTCAAATATCTTTGAAATAGTGGCCCTCTAAGCCATTTCAAATATATAAATAATATTGATGACAAAGTGGGTCCAAATATTATTCAAATCCCACTAATGTAAAAGATAGAAAAAAGTTTGACTTTGATTTCAGGCAAATTCTAAAGCAAAATCATAGTATATGCTTGATAGAGAGATTGTTGTTTATTTTTTGGGGGGTCAAGATTCTTGTTCCTATTAAACAAGATTTGGGATTATGTAATTCCCCACTAATTTTCATTCTCATTTGTTATGAGTGTAAAAAAAAATCAATTGAACATGAATATTATAATTTTTTTCTAACTTTAACATAAAATGCATAAAAAATCAGCACCTTTTGTTTTAATTTCAAGGGAAGTCAAAAAGATTAAACATTTTGGGATGGAAAGGTTAATTGAAAATAATTTTAAAGATAATAAACAAATAAAGCTGTTCAAATAGTTGTTTAATTATAAAAAAAAGTATAATTAGATTCGTTTGAGTCGAAGAAGACGCGTTTAAAACAAGTAATTTTAAAATAATTTTTTTAATTCATAAAATAAATAAATCACGAAAAGTAATATATAACAACATAAATGTCAAACAAATTCTACTATAAAGTATTCAAAACTTTCACATTATCAATTAGGTAAGGTAATATTAGTTCAAGAAGAAGGCTATGGAATCTGAATTTTCCATTTTTCTTAATAAACTTTTCTTATTTCTAGTAAGCTGAAAAGTAAACCAACAACCCAACTTTGCATTATTAGCTTTTCTAAGTCATAAATTCTTGGGAAATATATTCACGTTTTAATTAATGAGGTTTGAAATTGGGTCAAGACAATTCAATAAGAAATTTCTAAATTATTATACGATTTTGTAAAATTCATCGGAGGTACAAGTTTGATTAAAAGAAATAATTTCACATTTTTTTAATCAACACGTTTTTTATATCCCTAAAAACCTTAAAAAATAAATATTTATATTAAAAATCTTTACGTGTTTATAAAATGATACTCTATAATTAAATGATTGTATGTAAATATTATATTATGTATTAACGGTCGAGAAAATTAGACCATTGTGTCACTTCATGATTTTTTTTTTTTACTTAAGAAATAGTACTACAATCAATTGAGAAGGAAAAACAAAGGTACAATCAATTATTCCAATCTATTTTTCACTTTGTTTTTTTCTCAATTCACTTGTAAGTTGATAATAGCAACTTTTTCTTATCCATTCCTTTTTCACCTTAAATACTTGATACTTGGAAGTCCTTTTCCACTAGTAATTAAAGGTGAGTATGTGGTAGATGTCAATATTTAACACATGGACAACATACAAACTATATGTACCTTGAATGAAATAATAGTACTAATATTAATGATCCTTATTAATAAATGTCCGAAAATTTTTATTTTTGATTAAAAATAAAACTCAAATTTATTGTTTTATTTAAAATGATGGATTGAATTCATCAC